AAGAATTGGCCACCTCATCAGAGAGTGCCCACTCTGCATCAGGTTAGCGACTGCCCTCTGCCCTGAGGTTGACTGCTAGGCTGTCCATTGCTCACTGGACGAGGACTTCTTGTTTAGTAATTTCTGTTTCCCTTGGTTTAAAGAATTTTTTTTTCCCTCACTATCAAAATAACAGATGTTCATTATGGAAAACATTTCAAGCAGAGGGGTATTAAAAAGAAACACCTACTGGAAGCTCACTACTCTGAGGCATGACCATTGGGGCATACTGCCTTCTCCCTTTTTCTGTCCATTGTTCTGATCATACTTGATTTCTTTGATTTTTAATTTTTGCTTCTTTTGATTTTTAACCATATTTCAGGACATAACACAAGTATTACCTGTAGCTCGCTTATTTTTCTTAACATCTCTCCACCCAACACAACTTTTCCCACAAATGTGTAACGTTCTTGTTTACCGTCATTCCTGTTATTTCCCCAGAACGAGGCTCTCTACATCAGCACCATTTACCAAGTCCAAAACTATATACATTTTTCACTTTCATGCATATTGACAAAATAGTTTCCAGAAAAATTGTACCAATTTCAATTCCAAATAGTAGCTTTTGAGAATACCCTTTCCCTTAGCTCCATTTTTATTCTCCATTTCTAATCAAGTTTTACTGTTTTTGTTGCAGACTGATGTGGTTTTTGTTTCCACTGAACTAGTGATCCTGAACTCCAGTATCTCCCAGCCTCCAACATGTCTAAAATTTAATTTCTCTTGATGCTCTAGAATTTCCTTTCTCTAAGGGTGCGCTAATAGTTCCATTTCGGGGAAGCAAGGCAGTGAAGTGAGGATCTCTGTGACATTCAGATAGCCAACATTAACCCTAAGGTCATCTGGGGATGGCTCTCACAGAGTGGAAGAAAAGCCTGGGACTTAACCTTCTGTGTATCCAAAGCTCCCTGAACAACCTCAGTCAGTGCTCACAAATCTCCTCAGAAACTGAAAGTCACACGTGGCCCATTTGTTCCAGGGACCTCAGAGGAGTTCTCTTCCCCCACCCCTGATGGCTTCATTTGCATAACCAAGAAGCTTTGGAGTGAACTGGGCCAAGGTCTCTTCTCTGGCTTCCGGTCAAGCATTGCCTCACCAAAAATTCAAACTCTCCCTATCCCTAGGAATTCACTCTCAGGTCTCAGGCATCACTGGGTAAAAAAACAATAGGTACCCGATGACTCGTTGGGGAATATCCAAACTGTTTTTCAATAGCCATACCTCCCCCTTATGCCCAAGTCACTTCCTGGTGTGGGTCTAGCCCACTGAAAGGAAACTGTGTATAGGAAATATGTTCAAATGGAAATAATAAATCATGGTAGCAATAATTTTAAATTGTACCAAGACCCTAGAAGTGGATGGAAAGGCGCCGTAGGGAGTTCACAAAGGATCCTCAACAAACACATCAATAGCTATAAACAACAGGAATTGGGATTTTAACCAACCAGATGGCTCAAACTGTCTGAACATAAAAGGAGTCAGAATAGCACAGATAGAGCTATGAGACAGTGCACATTTGCATTTGTATCTTATTTGGAGAATGGCTTGTCTTGTCAAATATCTGGCACTCCGGAGAGGTTGTAGCACCCCCTGGTTCAGGGGGTTGGCATGCAAAAAGAAGGAAGGAGCAGAATTAGTACACAACGTAGCCGGAGGGCAGGGGTGAGCTGTGGAGACCCTGGTGTCTGGGCTCTGTTGTTGCCTCTGGAAGTTCACAGCCCGGGACACCCTTGTTGAGCTGTAGAGCTGGGTGGTGGTAGCCTGAGCCAGGATTCCTTTGGGAGGTCCAGCAGCTCATCCCAGGAAGTCTGGATCAGGCCATCAATCCCCTTTACTTTAGAAGAGCTCTCTAGGCCAGTGCTCTGGGGTCACTGGCAGGTCTTAGGCAGAATAAGTATCACACAAAAGGAAATGAAGCTCTGACCACTGCCCTCCGTTTTAACTGCTTTCCATACAGTGATACCCTGACTGGATAACAGTCTGGTTGGGGGGAGGGCTAGTGAGAGGGGAGCAGGTAAGGGGAAGGGGAAAAGGGAAGAGAGGGGCAAGAGAAATCCAGTAGTTATTAAGAATGGACTCTGATTCAGGGGGTGTGGTGAGGTACAAAATAAAGGAAGGTAGAAAGAAGAGGGGAAACTGGTAGAAAGGGGGGCACAGGGAGGAGGAGGAGAGGAAAGGAGAGGTGAGAAGAAAGGCATGCACATGGTAGGCAATGGGAACTGGAGAGACCTTCCCGGCAACCTCAGGGCTTGGCCACACTGTCTGGGCTGAGACTGAGGCTGCTTTCTTCTGGCCCAGGATCTTACCCACTATTACCATGAGGTTGGGGCACACAATCCTTGCAAGTCAGCTCTGATCCCTGTAACACCATCCTGAAGCAGCCTGAGGCTAGCCTGGCTTGCCTGGCTTACAAAAGCAGCACCAGAATGTGGGGAGTGAGATTTAACCATCTTCTCATACAATGTGTCTCTTAGAATTTCTTTCTCTCGTAGCCTCATTGATTGACACAAGAATACATTTTGGGTCTTCAAGCAATATTTGACCAGAGGGCTTTTTTTTAATCCTACTGCCGCAGGCCATATTCCTGTTCCACCAAGCTTTGCAGAGGTGACCCTGTCCAACATTTGCTACCTGTTCAGATGGTCAACTCATGTCATTAATTCTCTCCTTACTCTCCCCCACCACCCCCCCACAGCCCTCTTCAGAAAAAACCCTTGTAGCCCCTGCTGACATCCAAAAGGATGCCAAGGCCTTGTGTGGGTGACACTCCCACCCTCCGTCAGCCTCCTCAGCTAGCTGACGAAATGGCACCAGCCATGCTTTCTCTCTGGCCTTCGGGGGTCCCACAAAAGGTACTTGCTGTTGCTGCCCAGCCCCTTCGATGCCCCAGACCCACCTCAGTCCTGACTTAATGCAGGTAGCTTCCCAGGTGCACTGAGATACCAGGACTTTGAAGGTGGGACTCGATCTCAGAAGACACTGGCCCTGGAGACATATTCTTACAGTCCAGAGAGGAAGGACAGTCTGAGCAAACCCCACCCTTTCACAGTCACTCAGTTCCCTTTTTTGGTTTCCTGACTTTAACCAATCTTTTTTTTTTCTTTTTCTCTGCAGCATGGTATCTGGTTCCCTGCTATACTGTCCCTATCTTCTCCCCCACCCCCCAGTTGTCTCCGCCCTTCATTTGCCTAGGACCTCTGACACTATCTTGAGAACCCTTCTTGATGTTCTGGGGCCACTGAGATGCTAGAATAGGTTAGGCTGAGCAGACAGGTAGCAGGCCAGACCTCCTCAGGGGCTCACTTCAAGGACCATGGCATGGATCAGCACAGGGAGTGGAGTCTCGCAGGAAAGAGACAATAAGAGACTGGTAGAGGCAGAACACAGGGAGAGAGGAGGGAGGAGGCCTTTGGAGCCCCTTGACCTCTAGAGCAGAGGTAACGAAGGGTCACATAGTTACTTGATAGTGAAAGATGGAGAAGGCTCATGAAGGGACCCCCAAAGTTCAGAACTAGAGAGGTAGCGATAAAACTTCCCCCTGCTGAGTCACTTTCTAAGAAAGCATTTTTCTGCAGATAAAAATGTCTTCATGGAAACCCACACGAAAGCTGATGCCTTCCACATTTTCTGTGGATGCTGATTTTCTCCATTTAAGATCTGCCTCAAGAGTTCACTCTTAATTTACAACTTTTTTTTTAATCCAGTCAAGCAATAAACCAGCCTGGACTTGTCACTTGAAGTTGAATGTCCCTTATGCCTCGGTAGCAGTCTTTTCCCAGAGGATTCTCCTAGAAAGCACAGCCAGGACTGGCTGCAGACCTGGGTGGTAGCAGAGCTCTTGGTGACCGATCTGCTTGCTTTCCTTGACACACAGACCACTGCCATATTTACTTGCCCTAAGAGCTGTATCCTAGTGTAGAAAATTATCGTAGGGCCCTCCCTGGTGGTGTAGTGGGTTAAAGTGCAGCACTGTGAAGTTGTCCACAGCCACTGCAGCATGAGTTCAATTCCTAGCTGAAAAGGTGACCCACATGGTGCAGCAGACCTCTCCTGGCCCTCCCACAGACCCAGAGCAAGCAGTTTCCAAAAAGATCTTGACTACCTGATGCAATAAGCCAACTTTGAAAGAGCTTACCAAGATTAAGGATCAAGTCCAATAATTGGTGACCACACTGGATTTGAGTTGATTACTTTGAAAGTGGGGTGGCAGTGGCATTTGTGAAAATAGTTCAGAGGTTTTTGATGATAGTAATCAAGAGAAATGTCATGTGAGGAACATGGCTGATATAAAATCCAAGATGATATTATGATTCCTTATAGAAGTAAAGCATCGAGGCAAAGGAAAGGGAACAGGTTACCCACTCTGCAAGGATGGGCCATACTTCTTAAGTCTTGAGTTCAGTTAGGAGTGCTTCATCTTAGGGGAGATTATCGAGCAGGAGCTCTAGAGAGTCCTCAAAGGCCAATGAGACTGCCTAAGAGTCTGGAGAGAATAAAGTGCTATGAGACTACACTAGCAAAGAAACTTAGATAGCAAGCAGCAGTCATGTTTTTATTACCTCATTCTTAGAGACTATGCAGCAAAAAGGGGTTGACCTTGAGCAGCCCTGGGTCTTCCTGCATTGTTAAGTGAGCAGACAACTCGGATTCAGTGAAAGGCTGGGGTGTTAAGACTACCTGGGATCACATTCCAGCTCCACAAAGCAATCACCTATGTGACTTTGGATAAGTGAATTTAATACCTCTTGTGCCTCTGGTTCCTCATCTGTTAAATACTAACAATGGCAGCTAGAGCTCATGCTGTTGTTAGGATCAAAAGAAGTAGTGTGAACAGTGGTTAGGAAAATGCCTGGCATAGAACAGTGCTCAGTCACTGCTACCTACTACCCTTATCAGTCACATGAGGAACCCAGGCTCTGGAGTCTAGACCTGTGTCCAAGATCCAGTAAACACATGTCGAAATGTCGACTATCCTATTCCATTTCCTCATCTGTGAAATGGGAATATCAATGCCACACACGCCCCAAAGTGTGAGCATTTTATGAGAACATCCATTTTAAATGCTCAATACCAGGAAGTCTCCTGCCTGACTCCCTGGAAAACTACCACATGCCTGACTTCTGCCAGGTATGCAGGGGAGGGCAGAGTGGGTGGATACCTGCTCTTGGCTTGATTATTGCTGTTGCGGGAGCTGAACAATTTCATCGTCACTTTTCCACCCAGCACAGCTAATTTATTCCTTCAACAAAAGGGGTCTGCTTTGATGCTAAAAACTGTCCCCCCACCTTTTTTTAAAGTACTTTAGTTTGTAATTATACACGTATGAACATGAATTTTTTATTGTGTCCCTTCTTTAGTACAGTGTCCGACACAGAATAGGCATTCAAAACAAACATCTGTTGATTGGACCAACTGACCGTGTGATAACCAAGCAACTGGCTCCCTCGAAGCCTTCGCAGAAGCTGCAGTTCTCTGTGAAAGATACTCCCAGTGCCCTCAAGGTGGAGGAAGCAGGCTTCCACTTGACCCTAGTCCTGCCTTCCCTCGTGCAGAAGGATAGGAAGGAAGACCAGAGGGTCTGGAAAGTGCACTGCCTCCTTCATTTAACACGGGTACGTAGCACTGTCCACCAAAAGTGATGAAGTGAGAAAATTTGCAAAGCTCCAAAAAGGCAGGAACTCGAGGAGACAAGCCTCCGGGTCGAATCTTCCTTGAGCTCCCGCCGGTAACACCAAATCGATTCATCTGGGCCGCTGGGAGGCGCTGCGCAAGAGACTTAGACTCTATGTTCACTCCTACTCCCATGAGGTAGCGCGACCAGGAAGCGCCTATATACTTCCGTTTCCGGCTCGGCCTCTTTCTTTCCGTGCCGCTAGAGCTCTTGCAAGCATGGTAGGAACTTGGTTGGGGAAGGGGCCCGGTAACATCCATTCTAATCTTCCCCAGCTTTATCGGTGGTGCTGTCCAGGAGTCGGTCCAGGCTCCTGTGTAGCCTTGTTGCACCCGAAAAACCCACTATTGCCAGGACCGACCCGAGGGCACCGGGCTTAAGGTCTGGAAATTTAAGTGGTGGAATCAAAGAGGTACCCTTAACCGGGGATTAACCGCCCTCCACTTTGGGGCTCCACGGAGGACGATCTCCTTGACGTACGGGGAATTGGCGCACTTTCCACTCAACGTTGTGTTACTGAGGAGTTCGGGAGTCGAGTCCCTTGGGGCCTTACCTTCAGCGGGAGCGGGCATGGTTACCGTTCACAGCCGATAACACTGCACGTTCTGAACGCTTTTATTTGCCAGGTGAACGTTCCTAAAACCCGCCGGACCTTCTGTAAGAAGTGTGGCAAGCATCAGCCCCACAAAGTGACACAGTACAAGAAGGGCAAGGATTCCCTTTATGCCCAGGGTAAGACGGCCTGTATGTAATTTGTTTTTAACTGGTATCTGTGTCAGCGTGTACGTCCCGAGCCCATTTCTTCCCCCTGCAAGGCTTCCCCCCAACCCATGCACAGATGAGACCCATAGGATTATTTCCATGTGGCTGTTGTGATTGTGGTCTGGAGTATGTCCTAACATAGCTTATTTTCGTAGGAAAGCGGCGGTATGACAGGAAGCAGAGTGGCTATGGTGGACAGACAAAGCCAATTTTCCGGAAAAAGGTTGGTAATTATTGATTTTTGCTTCTCACTTAATAGTGGTACAAGAAAAAAAGGCCAAACTTGCATTTGTCTTTAACACATGTGCCTCTACAGTATAGATACCATGATTTCAAGTTACTTTTGTTGCATGTGTGGGCAGTGCAACCCACACATGACTTAGCCTACATTTTGCACCATCTCAGTATTTATATTTTTTTGTCCTTATTTGAATTTGTCCTTACCAAATTAAGGAATGTATGCTTGACGTTTGAGCATACCAGTAAATCTTTGTTACTTGCCTGTCACTGTGAATCCTTAGCTCTTGAGTCAATTAAGAAGTGTGCTGTCACTTTGTGGTTCAGGTCATAACCTAAAGTCAATCTCCATCTCCTGCGTAGCTAGAGGAGTCTTAAGCTCTTTAGAATAACTTTATTGGTCATTTTCCAGGCTGGATGAGTTTTGGCCTAGATCTTTTCTACCCCAGGTGATTTGGCTCCGTGACTAGCAGGGTCTAGAAAATAGCATTACTTGACTCTAAATTCAGCCTGGTTCCAGGACTTGTTAAGGAGCATCTGTAAGGTTCATTGAAGTGCAGTTAAATGGTTTGACCTCGATGTAATATTTAGCTGGGTTACTTTTTCATAATAAGGCAACTTGAGAAAATGGGGAGGTTCTAGCTAGGTTTTGGCATCTTTGAGAACTGAAAACTAGCAGTAGGGAAATTCTTATTTAGAAAGCCATGTAGTGGGGAAGAATGCCTTGAGTTAAATATGGTTGCATGCACATACGATAGGCATAATTATAGGTAGTCCTTGGAAAACTGATTTTACTGCTCAAAGTGACAATAAATTAACGGTACTTAGTTGCAAAAGCTGCATTTATCACATCATTGCATGAACTTGGTTGACCCATTTTGGTTAAGTAGGACACTTGAGAGACCACAAGTTCAAAGGTGTAAGTGCCTATTTGATAAGGCTCTGAGGTAGTTTATCTGAATGGGGAATTTAGTGGCACTTACGTAACCTGTCAACAAGTTAAGTCATAAAGGGCGTAGTTGACTTTTCACATTTTTGTCCTGTAAGACAAATTGTCTACAACTCTCATTTACAAAAATTTTGCTGTACTTTTTAGCAAGTTGTATTTTTTTAAAGAAACTAGTTTTCTGTGGTCATTTATGAAAGACTTCAATTTTTTCCAGGCTAAAACTACAAAGAAGATTGTGCTGCGACTTGAATGCGTTGAGCCCAACTGCAGATCGAAGAGGATGTTGGCTATTAAGAGATGCAAGCATTTTGAGCTGGGAGGAGATAAGAAGAGAAAGGTATATAATCATGTGAAGAAGGGTGTATTCTTTGCTGTATAGCTTTATTTGGAGGCGCACATTTCTCCCCATTTATTGTGGCATCAAGATGGGGGCAGGCATCAAAATATCTAGATCCATAAAGGTGTTTTTGGTGTTGCTTTTAACATGAATAGGAAAGGAAGAATGAAACTTGACTTTATATAACAGGATAGTGTTAAAGACTGCTGTTTTCGATGGAGTGTTTTTTCTTGCAAAATACACAAATAATTTTTTGTATTCTATTACAGGGCCAGGTGATCCAGTTCTAAGCATCATCTTTTACTATGAAGATAATAAAACATTGAATTAATGTTTACTTCATTTGGTTGTAATTGACTGGTCTTTGGGGAGGATAATAGTGTCATCAAATCAATAAAAATGCTGTGAGGAAATTTAAGCTTGAAGGTTCTTCTGGATACTCAATTCATTTTGGATTCTATCTGGCTAATACTTAGCTTATATATCAGATGTTGCCATTTAATGTGGTACTTGAATCACTTGGGGCTTCTACAATCCGTCGTGGCCCATAAATTAGAGACCTGAAACTTGGATGAATAGGGTGAGGTCAGTAACAATTAAGTCCATAGGGGAATTTGTCATACTTTTGATTTCAAAATCATGTGATGAGGCATTATTGCTTATTTCTAGGTATAGCATATTACATGTATTATGGAATACTTGCAGACTTAAGTACTATCAGGTTTTGAAGTTGACAGAAGTTACTTTAATCATGATAATGTCTAGTGAAAGAATCCCCCAATGAAATTGGTATCTCCATTTCTTAAAATGCCTAGCAGTTGGGAAATTTTATCTTCCTGTTTTATACCACATATTTAGCTCTTCATATTTAAAGCAGCAAAACTGGGTGGTGACACAACTGGGCTATAAATAAAATGAGGTGTAAGTCAATATCGCATTTTTTAATCAGCTGGTCAATGATGGGCTTCCGGTTTTATTGAAGTTATGACAGGCAAAATAATTGTTTATGTACTGTGTATTTCGAGTGGGTGTTTGCTGTGCTGTTTTTGAACTGTCATGCATTCCAGCTGGGTGAGCTGCATTTGTTTTTGCTGATGTATGAGGGGGCGTAATGGAGCAGGCTTTTAAGCTTACACTATGCTTGCTAGTCTCCCATTTCTCAAGGTTATCCCTGCCTTGGCTGTTTATTGTCCTCCAGTTGAGAAATTACTCCCTTCTATCCTCCCTTTGGTGTAAGTGCCATTCAAACTGTTTAAGGGCTAAGAGCCTGGCTTTAAATCCTGGCCACATTTACTAAAGCAGATCAAGACCTGGTGTAGGTGGGTGAGCATCAAGGAGCCAGTACACTTTCTGCCAGCTACACCAGTGCTTGGTACACAGTAAATATCCAATGATTTACAGCTGTTAGTTTACAGTCCTTTCCCCAGATGTTCTCCCTGAAAGGTAAAACTGGAAAAGGCTTTTATTGAGGTAACATTGGTCTGTAACAGGTTTCAGGTGTGCATCATTACAAAGCAACATCTGTATAAATTACATTATGATCAAGTCTTAATTCCATCCTTTACCATCAACTGACTCAACCATATTTACCCACACACCCATTTCCCTCTGGTAACCATTAATTTGGATTTATATACGTAGTGTTTTTCAGTTCATTTTATTCCTTTATGTGCCACACAAGTGAATTACTTCACTAGGCATATTACCCTGTAGGATCCATCCATGTTGCAAATGACAAGATTTTGTCTTTATAGAATTAACTAGGAAATTTGATTCAAGGAATACTAATACAGTTAAAGTGGGAATGGGAGAAAAGTACAGACGTAATAGTCACTTTGACAAGTTTAAAACTTTTAATTTAAATGACTAGGGCCTGTATTTTCTAGCAGAAGCAAAACAGTGCCTGTGGGATTTATTCGAGTTTTTAACACCGAAGTCCATGTATAAAGCCCAAGCTTTCTCTTCACTGGGAGGAGTTGTGTGATCAGGCAGGCAGGATTACAGGCCACCCCTTTACCCAGGGAAGTGACCAAGGTGCTGTAAGTACGAGGTCCACCAATCTCTTGCAGGTTTACCGTAGCCACGGCCCAGGCTAAATGTGAGAGAGGTCGTTCCCACACCTCAATGTTGTCTTCCTGGAAAGCAAGCCAAGAAAATAGGTGTGATAGCTTCTTAACTAGCATTAAGTTGCCTTGTTACAATTTTCATACTTACTGTCAATTACTGAGTGCTTTGTAGGAGAAAATAAACATTACCCTGTAGCATGAATCAAGCAAAAAGCAGCCTCATTACTGACTAGAATATCAAAATGGTAAAGCATTCGCAAAAGATCAGTGCCTATCCTTAATATGTGACAGATACACAGAGACAACAAACTTGATACGTGGTATACAGTCCTCTTAGAATGCATACCCAAAGTAAACTTTCAATTAATTGTAAACTAAAAGGCAAGAGAACATGTTCCTGTCCCAATTCCCAACTCCCCCCATACAATACTTTCTGCTATACCTTTCTAAGCCGATACCCCTGCTTGCCCAAGGGGTCCTGGTTGATGGCAATTACATCTTTATTCTGAAGGAGGGCTTTGGCTTGAGGGCTGATGTTTCGGAGGTCATTGGACATCAGTAATGGAGCTGCCATGATAGCCCAGAGGGCCATCTGAGTTACCTGCTGGTCCCAACTGAGGCCGAAGTTACCAATCACTAGCTGTGACAAAGAATGAAGAATTCAAGTCAGAGACAACGAAACATTCTTTAACATTGATTCAACAAAGAAGCCACTTTCCATAGCACCTTGCTCTGAGAAACTGCACCTCCAGCTGCTCCCTGGACCTTTCTCTCTTCCACTTAGTTGAATGTCACTGAGATACCAAGCCTGCTGCAAGGGCTTGAACAAGGTGCGCTCAGGTGCTTACCATGTCTGGGTCATTCCAACCTCCTGGTCCTGCGACATCAATGATTCCTTTCTGGTTAGAAGATGTCCAGTCCAAAATACTCTTTACACTTTGCCAAGAATCATAGATGTCAGCAAAATTTCTCCAGTAATTGCAGTACTCTCGGATTTCTGTATAATTGGGCTATGGAAACAGATAAACTTCTGTTTACTTCTAACATATTTGTGACGTGAAAAACAGTCACATTTAAATAAGGGACTGATAACCTCTTTATAGGTTAAAGGTCACCATGAGAACTAAATTCTAACCACATTAGAATTTTATTATAAGAAGTTTGCATCAGAAGTAGGCCATGTAAGTTAAAATTCCTAAATTAGAGTCCTCCCTGGTGGCGCAGCAGGTTAATGCACAGCACTGAGAAGCTAAAAAGCTACTTCAGCATGAGTTCCATCCCCGCCTGCCCTGGAGGTGACCCACATGGCACAGCAGACCTCTCCTGACCCGCCTGCTGCTCCCCTCAGCAGTGTACTTCGTCAGTTGGCCTGTTCTGCTCCCCACTCTGTCTCTGGTGAAGCCTCACCACACCTACACCTCTGGCCTGTACCCCAGTTCTGTATGCATAAATAAATCTTTTTAAAAATTCCTAAATTAAACAGCCTTACTACTTTTTTTTTTTTGGCTGGAAATTTACCAAATACTAAGTAAGGAATTGGGGGGTTACAGAGGTGTTTTTTTTTTTCACACCACTTATTTTCAGAGCTTTCTAAAGTGACTATGTATTACTTTTATAAATAGAAATAACTAAAATGGTATCAATAAGTAGAAGTTGCAAATTATATAGCACTCACCAACACAGAGGGAAATCTGAATCATAAACATATAATTTGTTAATGGAATGAATAAAGTTTGTAGAAACCAGGCTGGGTCTCCATGGTTTAAGAAGTTAAGAGCTGAATGCATTTTGCAAAGATTAGCAGTAACAGGGATTCAATCTATAAATAATTAGGCAACACTTACCATAGGCTACGTATACAGTGATAAACTCAGACAAGGTCCCTGCCCTCCTGGAGCTTACATTCTAGTGGGGGAGACAGACAATAAGCAAATCAACAAATAATTCTATATAGTGCCAAGCTCTGGGAGGGAAACCACAGATTAACGTAATAAAGAATAGAGGAACAGAGGATTATTTTTAGAAAGACCCATATGAGTATGAAGCACTTGATCTGAGAATCTCAATGTTAAGAAGTGGGTGGTTATATAAAAAAATCTTGGAGGGAGAATTACCAGGCAGAAAACAAAAAGCAAGTGTAAAGGCCTGAGGCAGCAGTAAGCTTGGGTGTTTGAGGGACAGAAAAAATATAGGCGGGCCCTCCCTGGTGGCGCAGCGGGTTAAAGCACAGCACTGAGAATCTAAAGCCGCTTCCGCATGAGTTCGATTCCCGCCTGCCCAGGAGGTGACCACATGGTGTGGCAGACCTCTCCTGACCTGCCCGCTGCTCCCCTCAGCAGTGTACTTCATCGATCTGCCTGTTCTGTTCCCCTCTCTGTCTCTGGTGAAGCCTCTCACCGCCCCTGAGCCTCTGGCCTGTACCCCAGTTCTGTATGCACAAATAAATAAAACTTTAAAAAAAAAATATAGGCGTGTGAAGGGATGACTATTGGGAAATGAGGCTGTGGTAACAGACCAGGGCAAGACTGATGAAATTTGATTTTATTTCTAATGCAACGGGAAGCCAGTTAAGGGTTCTGAGCAGGGGAAAGATAGGACTCCATCTATGTTTAAACAAGATCACTAGTGCTGCTTGCAAAATAGGGGGTGGTCGAAGGAAAGTGGAAGTAGAGATCAGACTGACAGTGGCTGGGAAGACCAGAGAAGCAGCAGAGATGGAAAGAAGTGGGCCGATTCAGGATATATTTTGTAGGCAGTACTGACAGGATTGCTGGTAGACAGGATGCCAATGGTGAGACAAAGAGAATCAAAAATGATGCCCCATGGTAGCATGGACCACAACTACAGCACTGAGATTGGTGAGAAGTATGTGGAGCCTGGGAGAAAAAGTAGGGCAAGAATGTTAAGTAGGATGGGACTTTGAAAGAGACATCTGTCTTTCCTCTGTTCTCAGGTTCTGAAAATCTACCAGCAAGACTGTTGGATTTTGTGCTCACAAGCTCACCTTATGAAAAGGCCACATATAAAGGGGCCACTCACAGGAGTACACAATGCTTCTGCCAGTCCTATTCAGGGCCAAGGACATGAGCTTATAACCTGTATGAGGAAACAATGAGTAAAATAAGAGAAAGAGGGCCTCCCTGGTAGCACAACGAGCTAAGCCACAGCACTGTGAAGCTATCCACAGCCACTGCAGGAATTGATCCCCAGCCAGGGAGGTAACCCACATGGCACAGCAGACCTCTCCTGCCTCACCCATTGTTTCCCTCAGCAGTATATTTCAGTGGATCTGCCTGTTCCGTTCCTGTCTCTGGTGAAACCTTTCAATACCACCCCACCTCTGGCCTGCACATATTTCTTTTGTATGGATAAATAAATCTTTCCCAAAAAATAAGAGAAAGAAGGGACTTTTGAGGTAGGGCTGTATATTTTTAAAATGCTGTCTGGACGGACCATGTTTACTTTTTAAACCAGCAGTAGAGGTAGCTAGCCCCTCTGTGCTTAAAATGTGTCTAATACCTTCCAGACTGCTGGGATTGATCTATAGAGGAATTGCAATTGCAGGACTGTACATGTATTGAGGAAAGGAGATCTTGGTTTCTCTGTGATTGCAGTTCTGGATATTTCCCAAAGTACAGAGTTAAAATTATTATTTGTAACAGACTCTTAGAAACGTCTTGAATTAAAAGTGGACAATATTAGATGTGGCTACTCATGCATGGGTTTTATAGACATGGATGGATGGATGAATGTAAGAGAAGATGTAGGAGCTCCGCACACTGAGAATAATTATTTCTAGCAACATGACTGAATATTTAGGATGTGAAGATTAGTTCTTTGGATGTTCAGTTACCTTGGTCTCAAAGTTCCTCCCTTTTGTTCATGGCTAAATCTCTTGAATAAAACATACCATCTGCCAAGTGCGTCACATTATCACAGTAACAACCATCAAATTTTAGCAGGTCAACTCCCCAGTCAGCAAAGGTCTGTGCATCAATGTCGTAGTATCCGAAACTGCCAGGGAAGCCTGCACAGGTTTTATTTCCAACATCTGCATAAATCCCAAGCTTCAATCCTTTGCTATGGACCTGAAAAGAGAGAAAAAAGTTACCACCGCAAAAGAAAGGCGAATATAAAGTAGAAAAAAACACTCTAGGCTGGGGCCAGAACCCAGTATATTCCACCAGATAGAGAGCTGACCCATTTTGAATTTTTATCTTTACTGACCCATGAGATTATTCAGATGAGTGTGTTGGGAGACAAAGAGCAAGTTTTCCAATTCCGCTGAGCTAGCTCAAACTGCACATGTAAGCCCCAGAACAGAACTGAAGAGAAAGCTATGAGCCACTCTAATCTTCCTCTGATGGATCCTGAGTTATCTTTCCAGGGTAATCGCACATTTATCTGAACACAGATTCTTCCTTGACTAAGCGATATTGAGACTCCTCTGAGTCTTCAAAATGATGCCCCAACCTTGGCATTTCATGTCCAGATTTATCAAGAATCCCACCAAGTCCCTCTCCCCCTCCCACTTTGATAATGTCTTAGCCTCCTTTAGCAAGAATTCCCCTTCCTAGATGTCTCCTCTTAGTAATTTTCTATCTGCTGTCCCTCCCCTCATACTGTTTATAAGCCATAAAGCTCCATCTTTGTTGTATTAGCAAGTGAGAATGGTTCTTTCCTAAGCAAGAGAACTTGATGTCTTCATCACATTTAACTAGTGTCTGGCCCTACTGTATCTCTTTAACAATCTCCAGAACATAACCCTCTGTCTTCTGAAACTCCACTTTATAGTACAATTGCAATAGCTGTTCACAGATTATGTGGAAATATAGGCACACATATGTCAAGAACCAAGTTTCTTTTTCCTCCTGGAAAACTCAGTAGTTTCAGCAAAAGGCGGGCCTCAAGAGCTATTACAAAACATTTATCTTCTGATTGGATGAAAGTTCCACCTGATAAGTTTTATAATTCAAGTTCAGATAACAAAGCTGTTCAAGGTACTTCTAAACAAGCTTTGGCTCAGAAGTGATTAGAGTCTCTTGTGTGAAAAAGAGTCTATAAACTCACATAATCAGCCAGGCGACGGATTCCACTAGGAAAGCGTTTAGGGTCTGCCTGAAGTCGGCCTTGACCATCTCTTTGGGTGGCCATCCAACAGTCATCAATGCAGACGTACTCATAACCTACATGCTTCCAGCCATCTGAGTCCATGAGATCTGCCATCTGCATGAAAAGTTTCTCACTGAAAGAGAGATTTCAAGAATCATGAAAACTCATTAAATACACACTTGAGTATCTCTTATTTGTGAGGCACCTTGAGGCTTTACAGTTTTTTGCAACCTCATCATAGTTTGGTAGTAATCACAACCAACGTAAGGTAAAATGGGCTGGGTTCTTCTTCCTCTCTTAATTTGTCCAACTTAAGAACACCAAACAATTACGAAAATAATGTAAGGCTATTAGAATGAAGAAGGATCAGCAGGTTAAGGAGCTACAAAGCTGATACAATCAACTAACAGCTTCCACAGACATCAAGAGTAAGAGGAGGGAATGTTACCATTCACACGAGCAATGACAAAACTTAAACTACAGAGCAATAAGTTGAAGATAATCTGCAGAACTCATATGAATAAATCTATGATGTTCCTATGCAAGTGGAATAAATGAAGAGACATTATTCTCCTCTTGAATAGGAAAAAAAATTCTTCCTATACAACTTTATCTACGTATCAAAACCCTGAACCACCCCCAAAAGGACTTTAAGGAACCTGACAAAATGATTCAGAGTTGATCTAAAAGATTATGCACAGAACAATGGAATTAAGAAAATTCAAAAAGAGATTCTTCCAGTCATCAAGTACCATAGAATTTAGTACATAGAAAATTAGTACATAGTAAATGTAGCATTCCTTACAGGAGAAATAAAATTGAAGTGGGCTTTGACTTATTCTATTACTAAAAATGTAATAGAAATCATAAAAATACTAGAAAATGTAGGTAACTATATTTTCTTCAGGAATTTCTCAGTATGAGGCCAGAGCCAAAAATGATAAAGTGAAACACTTTATGCTTCATACAAAATTATCAAAACCAACTTATAACAAGAACCAACATATTCACAGAATATAACCAACAAAAAAGATATTCAAATCAAATAATGGGGAACACAAAGAGGCAATTTATGAAAAAATATGCAAATAAGTGAATTTAACATATGAAAAAAGTTCAACATTATTAATAATCAAATAAATGAAAATAAAAACATGGTGTACCAGATTGGCAAAGTGTTATAAGAATGACAAAAATGTGGTGCTGGCCAGAGTGTGGAGAAACAGAACAAACAACCAGATGGTGTTGTTCACAATAATGAAAAATTTATAAGACTGAGGAGCTATCAACATGAGATTGTGTAAATAAATTACAATATATAGACACAATTTGCATTTCTGAAGCTCTCATTCTGTGTCAGGTGCTTTATTCTGCTGACATTTAGATAGAGCGATTAATTTGCCCAAAATTATTTACTAAGTGACTATAAGATAGAATTTGAATCCAGGTCCATGTCCATGAAGTTCAGAGTCTTGTTAGCCATCCCAGACATAAACATAATCTCATTTTTAACGAAACGAATGAAAAAAAAAAGTGATTTTTTTTCTATATAGAAAAAAGTTCACAAGGTTCTAGGTTATCATCTTTTTTTTTTTAAAGATTTATTTATTTGTGCATACAGAACTGGGGTACAGGCCAGAGGCTCAGGGGTGGCAAGAGGCTTCACCAAAGACAGAGTGGGGAGTAGAACAGGCAGACTGATGAAGTACAATGCTGTGAGGAGCAGCGGTGGGTCAGGAGAGGTCTGCTGCGCCATGTGGTCACCTTCCGGGCAGGCAGGAATCGAACTCATGCGGAAGTGGATTTAGCTTCTTAGTGCTGTGCTTTAACCCGCTGCACCACAGGGAGGACCTAGGTTATCATCTTAACCATGATTATTTCTGGATGGTGGGGTAAGGGGAATTTTTGCTTTATTATGCTCTTCTTCACTATCTACAGTTTTTGCAATAACCACGAATTAGGGTTTTATAATCAGATACACTAATAAGACAACTACCAATTAGGCCAATTAATTTAACGATTTTTGATCAATATTCTAACTTCATTTGTAAGGATATTCGGGGGACTTGGGTTACTTTACTTTGGGGGGGAATACCTGCACTATGGGGGGGGGTCTCTGTTTTTAGACAATATCTGAGATTATTTTTTCTAGATCATAGATACTTTTGCTATTCTGAATAAAGGTAAATATTCTCTCTAGAAAAACACATTTACAGATTTGCATAGATTTTCCCCATGGATTCCACGTTAAGAACGTTTGCTCTATAGGCTTAATTGAAGGGTCAGTCACTGCACTGTGTTATCTGTTTTAAATGGGTTAACTCATTGAAAGTTCACCTATGTGAGATGAGAACTATTAGATCCTCTTGAGTCAGCACTGTGAGGTAAGAGTTGTTTGTTACCCCAATTTACAGAAAAGGAATGTGTGGATCACATAGATTCCAATCCCTATCTAATCGCGTTTCACACCCCTACCTTTACTATGGAAAAGTTCTCTCAGATAAACCTTCTAAACTGAGGTCACACTCAAGGAAAAGGGGTTTAAGGAGATCCCAGAGACTACGAGGTCTCTTGAAGTCCCTCGAGTTACAGTCAAGAAGCCCATATTCCCCATCCCACCCCCCCAAAAAAAAGAAAAAGAAAAGAAATGGCATGCGTTTTAGTCCTTTCGTCCCCCATCTCCAGCTCGCCACAGCTATGTTCACAGGGAGCGCCTGGCAGAAGCAGAGCAGCAACTCACCAGCAGCTGAACAGAACCAAAGGGTCTAAGACCCAAGTCCTTAGCTGAGTAATGAGAGAGCGCGAAGCCGTGGTCGCTAAGCGGACGTCCACCCCCGGAACCCCCAGGAGGGGTCACGCGAAGTTTTACGGCTAGTGCCCAGGCAAGAAATAAGAAGAGGATTTTTAAAAATCCTGTAAGGGAACTCTCCCTTCCTCGAGACTCGAATGTTCTGCCGAAAACCTCCAGTTCTTCCGACAGTCGGATATCCCTAAGGAAAGGTGAAGGGAAACGGACACCTATTCCTTTTTGATACCTGATACAGGACTCCGGCTCTTCCTGGCAGTTGACGTTGCACATGAAGCGCTCCCAGTGCAGCCAGCCCATGATAGGGGTCTTCGCCAAGCCATTGTCCAAAGCCCTGGCCCCCAACACGCCCCAGAGAACCAGAACCAGGAAGCGAGCAGCCAGCACCGAGCACAGAGGCCGGGAACAGTTCCACAGCCACCTCCCGGCAGTCATCGCGCAATACAGATTTCCGCGGGTAACCTGGACTTTTAAGTTTAACCTGCGGGGCGGACCAATCACAGGTGGGTTATTAAAGCGTGACGTTCTTGTTTCTCGGGCAACTGGGACGGTTATCCCCGGAAATGGACCAATGGCCAGTCACGTAAGATGCACGACCACCAATAGCACGCTGGCTTTCTTGGTTCTGGGCCCGCCCCATTGCCTGACCAGAAGGAAGTGCGGCACTTTAGCGATCCCGAGTCGAAGCGGAGAGTGGCTCACGTGACCTAGATCTCACATGACGTAGGTGCTCACGTGATCAATCGCTTACGTGAGCAGAAGTAGTTCTGGTCGTCGTCTATCGTCTCGCTATAGCCGTTTGAGGGAAGAAGGAGGAAAATTATCCGGTATCTTTAGAGGTTGGTGTGTGGGTGGGAGCGGGGGGGCCCGGGGGTGGTGATAATGAAGACCAAAACGGGATCCGCGGGCCGCCTCCGCCTTTTTCGTTCCCTGCTTTCCCCTCCCCCGCTCCCCCTCCCCCACCTCAGTGCCGGGAAACCGCCTTTGCTGCGCCTGGTGGGGAAATGGTGGACGTTCGTGACTGTGGATGTGTTTTTCTGTATCTGTCTGTCGGGGCGGGCCTCAGGGGACCCATAACTGGAACCGTAAGGTGAGCAACGTTTGAAAACCACGGTCCTAGGTTAGGAAAAACAGATATTGAGACCAGGGCTCTGAGAGTTGGTCCATCCATTCAGGTACTCGTTTTCCACTGCTTGATTGTCTGTCTGTAGGGGGAGGCACCAAGTAAATTATATTTGTAGAGTCATATCTAGGTAAATGCGTGTCTGATGGAGGCGCCCAATAAACGTTTTTACGGAGTTGAATATTTAAATAACATTTTGAGGGGCTTCTCACAACAATCTTCCTGTTCAATTTCGAACGTTTGAAAAATAATAATATACTGTAAATTTAAAAAATACACGTAATCCAACACTCAGAGATAGCTACTCAGCGCTATGGTGTGTAAAAAGTATGTGTCTAACACGCATAAATACACAAATTCTTAACTCATAAATGGAAGCTTTCAGGGTCCCTACTAAAGCCAAGAGTCCCCGCTGCCTTCGTCTCCTTCCCAAGAGATGCCTTAATGAAGCCGAATCTCCCTGCCACTACAAAGGGGGCGGTCTGGCCTACTAGAGTGCCGCAGGGGCAGTAAATGGGGTGGGTCAACCTAGAGATCAGGCAAGCGCAAAACCTGCCTGTAAATCTGTCACTCGGGCCTAAAGATGGGTTATGGAGAGACTTACCACTGCAGATGCTGTGTCCCAGACACATCGGCGATAGGACATGTTGGTCGAGTTGAATCTTCACTGTAGTTTTATGGCAGTTAATACACTTTGTACTTTCCAAGAAACCCAGGCTTCCCAGACTGTGTTGTCCACATACAAGATTGCAAACTTTTATAAAATATGCTATGCTAATTCCCAGAAAAGCGAGCTTTCTAATTTTTTTCCCGAAATAAAAGTAATTATCCTCTTTGTAGAAAATTAAGACTGCACAAAAAAAAAAAGAAAAAGCTCGCTCCCATAAACCTCCCATCATAGAGTAACTATTAACTTTTGACTTATTCCTTATATATTTTTCTAACTTTTTTTTTTATCCAATGACAGTGGTTTTTAAAAATTAAAACTATACAGAAGTATATAGGGTAAAAAGTGAAAATTCACCTCACTTTCCCTCTGATTCTTTTTTCTCAAAAAACAAATTTGTATTTTATCCTCCCAGATTGTCCGTACACTTACATACATGATTATATTTTTAGCTAAGTGGTCCTATATATAGTTTCCTTTAATATATTTTGTAAATATTCCTAAGTCAGGACAGACTTTTTTTTTAACTTTTTTTTTAAACAACTGCATAGAATTGTAAGGATAAATTACTTATTCAGCATCTCCCTTTTGACTAGGTTTCTAATTTTCTGTCATTACTAAAAGTGCTGCAGTGAACATTTGTGAGTATTTCTGTTGACCAGTTTCCTGGAAGGACTTCTGGCGTGGTCAAGTGATATGTGTACATATATTTTAAATAGTTGAGATTATAAAGTAGCTGGGTGACATGATTATTTATGAAGTAGTTTTTATTAAGAGGTTTTCTTAATTTGAAATTGTGTAATATTGTAGTTTTCTTAATAAAATACTTTTCAAAGAAGATATAGCTCCCTAGATCTTTGTGTGAATTTCACATCCTCCTCAGGGCACTTATCCTGAAGTCGATTTACTGTCAAAAGGTGTGATACACATCTTTCTTCCCTTCTTTTAAACTGCTATTGCCTTAGGTGAATCCCTTAACATTATCTCTAAAAGACTGGAGTGCTAACCCTACCCCCTCTGTTTGAGTTCCACAGTGTTGCCAGGGTGATCTATTGAAAGGGTTCTGATGACGTCACTCCCCTCCACTCGACTCCCTCCCCTGTTGAAAACCCTTAAATGGCTCTTGAGCAGTTGTCTGTCAAATGATGCTGTTGGGGTCCGATCTTATCTTACCAGCTTTTCTCTCTTGCCTGGCTTCTTATTTCTGCTCTATCGTAGTTTTAAAAATCTGCTCATGGATCCTTGAACTGGGTTAGTCTGTTTTATTTAATTGTTAATTGTTCTACTGCCAACTGGTAGAAATTTACCAGCCAGCCTCTGCTTTATATCACTCTACCTCCCTGCACAGAATTATGCCATCGCCAGGACAGTGTTTATTTCCCTGCTTTCAGTAAAGACATACAAAGCTCTTGTAGGACCACAAGCTCTTTCTGGGCTTATTGATCTTTGTGCCAAAGTACTAGACCAGAAAAATGGTACGAATGGATGAATTTCCTATGTTTTTTTCTACTTATCTCTTAGACTTTGATATTTTCCCAATTTTGTCATTTTGCATGAGTTCTTTATATGACTAGGATATCATACACATGTGTTGCAGGTTATCCTCCCATGTGTATTATTTGTCTCCTAATTTTGTTGAATCTCACTTTTGTTGTAATGAAGCTTTTCATTTTTTATGTAATTAGCTAAAGCCATCTTTTATTTGTTGATTTCTTCTACTGATTTTGCTATTAATTTTGTATGACTTTTTATCTTCTGACTATGATGGTAATGGTTGATGCAAAAAAGTTAGAACATACAGATATGTCCAAAGGGGAAAAAATTGTCTGAAGCAAAAAGCCCCTACAATCTTACCACTCCAAAATAACCAGCATTAAAGGTATCTAACCCATACGAGGTACTGAGTAAATAAGTAAATATTAAATAGATGGTGGGTGAGTTAGGCATTTGGATAGTCTTTTTATTCATATGAATGCCTTACAAAGAAGCTATCAGGGTAACTGAATTTTGTATTAGTAGTTGACCTTTTTTTCTTACCTTGTGCACATTTTTCCATGACAATGATCTTATAATTTTTTTCAGCCATAACGAAATTGCCTTGTCCAGCTTGTCACCAAGAACCCGACATTCACCATGATGCTGAGCACGGAAGGCAGGGAGGGGTTCGTGGTGAAGGTCAGGGGCCTGCCCTGGTCCTGCTCAGCTGATGAAGTGATGCGCTTCTTCTCCGACTGCAAAATCCAAAATGGTACATCAGGTATTCGTTTCATCTACACCAGAGAAGGCAGACCGAGTGGTGAAGCATTTGTCGAACTTGAATCCGAAGATGAAGTGAAACTGGCTTTGAAGAAGGACAGAGAAACCATGGGACACAGATATGTCGAAGTATTCAAGTCCAACAGTGTTGAAATGGATTGGGTGTTGAAGCACACAGGTCCAAATAGTCCTGACACGGCCAACGATGGCTTCGTCCGCCTTAGAGGACTCCCATTTGGCTGTAGCAAGGAGGAAATTGTGCAGTTTTTTTCAGGGCTGGAAATTGTGCCAAATGGGATGACACTGCCGGTGGACTTTCAGGGGCGGAGCACAGGGGAGGCCTTTGTGCAGTTTGCTTCCCAGGAGATAGCTGAAAAGGCCTTAAAGAAACACAAGGAAAGAATAGGGCACAGATACATTGAAATCTTCAAGAGTAGCCGAGCTGAAGTCCGAACCCATTACGACCCCCCTCGAAAGCTTATGGCTATGCAGCGGCCGGGTCCCTATGATAGGCCGGGGGCTGGCAGAGGATATAATAGCCTTGGCAGAGGGGCTGGGTTTGAAAGGATGAGGAGGGGTGCCTATGGTGGTGGGTATGGAGGCTATGACGATTATGGCGGCTATAATGATGGGTATGGCTTTGGATCTGATAGGTTTGGAAGAGACCTCAATTACTGTTTTTCAGGAATGTCTGATCATAGATATGGAGATGGTGGGTCCAGTTTCCAGAGCACTACAGGGCACTGTGTACACATGAGGGGATTACCGTACAGAGCCACCGAGAATGATATTTACAATTTTTTCTCCCCTCTTAACCCCATGAGAGTACACATTGAAATTGGGCCCGATGGCAGAGTTACTGGTGAGGCAGATGTTGAATTTGCTACTCACGAAGATGCTGTGGCAGCTATGGCAAAAGACAAAGCTAATATGCAACACAGATATGTGGAGCTCTTCCTGAACTCTACTGCAGGAACAAGTGGGGGCGCTTATGATCACAGCTATGTAGAACTCTTTTTGAATTCTACAGCAGGGGCAAGTGGTGGTGCGTATGGGAGCCAAATGATGGGCGGGATGGGCTTGTCCAACCAGTCCAGTTACGGGGGTCCTGCTAGCCAGCAGCTGAGTGGTGGGTATGGAGGTGGCTATGGTGGTCAGAGCAGTATGAGTGGATATGACCAAGTTCTGCAAGAAAACTCGAGTGACTATCAGTCCAACCTTGCTTAGGTGGAGAAGGTGTGCTGAACAGCTACTACAGAAATAAAAGCTGTGCATATGTGGGAGTTGAGTAGAATGGGAGGGATGTCTAGTATATCCAGTATGATTGGTAAATGGGAAATATAAATGATTCTGATCACTCTTGGTCAGCTTCTTTCTTTTTCTTTATCTTTTTTTTTTTTAAGAAAACAAAAATTAAGTTT